TACGCCGGGCGGTAGCTGGCGCCGTGCGCGGTAGGAGAGGAGAGGGTACCCGACTGGCTCGGCTGGCGGCCTCTGCCCGGATCTCGGCGCCGCAGTCGTGCGCCTCTCCCGCCCCTGTCTCCGGCTCCGCGGCCCTGGGCACGGTGGAGGCGGCGGAGCCCTGGGCCATCGGTAGGTTGCACGGGGACGGCGGCTCCGTCTGTAACCTTTTGTGCCGCAGAAAAGGTAGTGGTTATGGGGGGCTTGGGGGAGTGGGTTTGCCCCAGTCACCGATCCCTAGTGCCAGCCCCAATCGCGGCGCCGCCCCTTCCTCTCAGCCTCGTGTCTGGGCCGGGCACACGATGCCCGAGGTGCTGGGGAAACCCGGCCGGACCAGCTTCTGCGATGGGTGGCAGGGTGGCCCCAGCGTCCCACGGCCGAGGTGGACCGGTTCCCAGGCACCCGAAGGGGACTGGGGTCTGGTAAACTGGGTGGGGCCCGCGCGGGGTGCGGGGAGCTTGTGGTTGCCTGGCACAGGGGTGGGGCCGGAGACGCCGTGAGTGTGCAGCGCGTGTGAGTGTGCGGGGGCGTGCACCCCCGTGTGCGCGCGTCGTGCGCTTGCCGCGGAGGTGCGGGTACTCGGCGACCCGGAGCGCCTCTCCCGCGTTGCCGCGGTGCGGAAGTCGGGGCGCGTTGGCGCGCACGCTCGCTCCCTCTCTTGGCCGCCGTGCCCGCACCGCGGGCAGCGGGCCTAGAGGCCCCATTGAGAAGTAGCTTTCCCCAGCCTGCTGCACCTTTGGCCGCGTGCCCGGCCGCGCGCAGGGTGCGACTGCCCGGGCCAGATAGCACCTCAGGGCGAGCCCCGGCGGCCTGATCTCGCCGCCCCTCCTCGTCCGGGTTGCAGCCCGGCTGAGAGGCCGCCCGCGCCCTCCGAGCGTCTGCCGGTGCAGTGGGGGTGGACCGGTCGGCTGTGGCCGTGTGCGCGCGTGTGGATTGGGGCCCGGTCCGAGCCAGAAGCGTAAGCGGCAGATGTCGTCGGGCATTGCCGCTCTTGCCCCACCTGTCGCGGGTGGATTTTGGGGCAGGTGGGAAACGGAGGAGAGGGGTTTCGAGGCGGGTGGCAGTCAGACCTCGAGCAACGGCCCCATTGTGAAGCTGCCAAACTCTCTAGTGGTGGAATCTGCAGCTCTTCTCCAGAAAGGAGATGGGAACGCCAAGGGGATGATGGCCCGTCCTTTCCCCCTTGCAAGTGTTCCACATCCTTAGGGACTCCCTGCCTCTCCACCCACCTCAGTTTTCAACCGGGTGGATTAGTGATTTGGGTGGAACCAAGATTTCCGCGTGTGTGTGTGTGTGGGTCTGTGTCTGGCTGTGGTGCACAGGTAAAGCTGAGAACTTTTTATTTGAGGAGGAGGAAGAATGGAGGCATTTTATAGTGTGCTTGCCGCTCCTAGCTGAAAGAACAATTCTTGCACATTACTGATGTTACTAGACTCTTCGTTTTCCTTTTTTTTTTTTTTTCCAAAGAACCATCCTAGTGTTGTTAGTGGCTTTATTTTCTCAAATTCTGTAATGCTGGATTGACACTAGACAGATAGAAATGACCCTTTCGCAAAGTTTATTTTCCCAGTCATTTCAAAATATAGTATTGGTTATTATTGCAGAAGCTTTTGGCCTCGATTTATGATTACACTATTATGTTTAATGTTTCACAGAATCCTCAGTGTTTTTATTATGTAACTGAATGCATTATAAACTTTACAGTAAAATGAACATGATGAAATAAGAGTTAATGAATACAGAGACCTGTTAATTTGATAACAATTTATGTATAGAATATGCTTTTGCCAACATTTTAGTTTATTTAATTGCAAATGAGAGTGTTAGTGTATATGATGTATTTATTAATATTAAGTAACAGTCAATGAATTTCCTTACTTTGTATACTGTGTATTTTGGAGAGCTTTAAAATTAAAAGTATTTAATATGGTGAGAGTAATAAAACTTTATGCACAGGATTTAAAATTTATTTGCTGATTTGTAGCTGGGGGTGAGGTGGAGGATCAGCCTTCTTTCCTCCAGAGAGAACTTTGATTTTGTCATCAGCCTATGAAAATGAGTTTTAAGCTTTCCCAAAGGTTAGCCAATTCCACTGTATACACCTGTCCCATTTTGATGATGCTTCCTACGAGGCAAATTCCTTGTAAAGGCTGCATGTTGACCTTTGGTTCCACTTACTATTGGTCATCTTTGCAGTGAAACTGGATATTTTTCTAAAAGTAGAAGGATGATACCACGTGATAAGAAGATAGATATTAGTAACCTAGGTTTAATTTTTATTAGCAGAAATGGAAAGATAATGAATGCTACACTTTAAGGGGGTGGATGGCTATTAAAATAACTGATAGTAGAAAGAGAAACACATTTTTGTCTTACTGAACAAATACGGGTTATCTTACAAAGTTGACAAGATTAATGGTTTGTTTTTAAAAGATCACGGATGGTTTCAGAAAAGACACTCTAGTTAACTCTTCTTAAAAACTATTGATTTAGTTTTTGCAAATTGCAAATGATAAAATAAGATTATTTGAAACGAACCTCTAAGATGAGAGGTACAGCTAAACATTTTGTTTTCATTGTTGTGTTGTACTTTGACAATTAAGCCATTTTATTTCTGCTTAGTGTTCTGTTAATAATCCTCCAGAGATGTTTGGTTAATCTTTTATTTGTTTTTAGTGGTCTTTGAAACTAATGTTATATTTTCACTATTCTGAAAGGAATTTTTAAAAATTGCTGTTTATTTCCAAGTGCTTTTTCGTTATTGGTCTCTTTTTTTTTTTGAGACAGAGTCTCACTCTGTCGCCAGGCTGGAGTGCAGTGGCCTGATCTCGGCTCACTGCAACCTCTGCCTCCCGGGTTCAAGTGATTTTCTTGCCTCAGCCTCCTGAGTAGCTGGGACTACAGGTGTGTGCCTCTACTCCAAGCTAATTTTTGTATTTTTTAGTAGAGATGGGGTTTCACCACGTTGGCCAGGATGGTCTTGGTCTCTTGACCTCATGATCCACCCACCTTGGCCACCCAAAATGCTGGGATTACAGGCGTGAGCCACTGCACATGGCCTGGTCTCTTCTTAAATAGCCACTCTGAAAATGCTACTTGTTTCTTTCTTTCTTTCTTTCTTTTTTTAAGGTTTTGGTGGGCTTCAGGTTAGGGCTATGAAAAAAATGAAAGTAAATGTTTTGGGAGCTAGAATTAGAACTCACAACTTCTACTCTATCAATATCTTTGCCTAAAATTTGTCTTTTCATAATATAAACTTTAATGATGAATGAGATGTATTTACCAATAATTGGAAGGGCTATGTGCTGGTCCTTATATCTATAACCTTAGGATTTGTGATCGATATTGTTAATTTTTTTCTTATTGCTGTTTTGTTAGTGATCTTTGCTGAAGCCTGAGATTTATGACTTTTTTTGTGTGTGTACGGATTTTGTTTGTACTTAAACATTTCCAGATGGAGCTTTCTGTATTTTTGGGAAAGCCACTCCCTTTTCTGGGTTCCTAGTGCCATTCATGTTTGCCGTTGTATGTATTAGATTCATTTATTTCCATGTCTGTTCTCACCTCTGGCCCAGTTTCAGGCTTTACTCTTTGTATGTGCACCAGTGCCTGTACAGTGTGGGGATATATAATAAAACTCAAGAAAAATTGTTGAATGACTGAATAAGTGAATACCTAAGTGGTTTCACCATGTTGGCAAGGTTGGTCTCAATCTCTTGACCTCATGATCCGCCCACCTTGACCTCCCAAAGTGCTGGAGGTGTGAGCCACCTGTAGAAGAACTCAGATCTGAGTGGGAATTCACTGTTCAAGCAGAAGGGTATTTCCCTTTTTAAAAAAGTCATTGCCTTTCTGTTGGTATATGTTATATTTGATTAGCATAACAATTAAAACAGTCAAACTGAGACACTTTTGAAAGTTAAAGGAGGTTGCTTTAAATAATTATGCCAGGGTATTGACTATGAATTGAGATACACTGTCACTCTATTTTTGAAAGGCATTCTTCTTTATTTACCTGTGATAATACCTACAACATGAAAAAAAATTCGATACATTTCATTGTTAATGTTTGCAAACTTTTCTATTTGTAGACGCTTCAATTGCAGTCAAATGTTGGGTGTCTTTTGCTTAGTCACTCATGACTTTCTTATCCAGAAGTCTGTGGGCAGCTCTTGGCCAATGCTTAGTTTTTCCTATTTTTATTGCTTGTGGGATAATGTCCCACTGCATTCTGTTTTAGCTTCTTATAACTGGAAGCATTTATTATATCACATAGCCTTTGCTCTATTTACTTCAGTCTTTTTTTTATGCAGTATTTAGTCTATCTTCCAAGAATTTCACATGGATTCCTTTTCCTCTTGCTGACTGTTTTTTAGAGGAAATCTGTTGATCCCTTTCCAAGCCTTCAGTGTTCAGAACATTGGCCAAAATCAATTGTGAGCAGTAGAGAATTATAAAGTATTCTGAAAGTGTGTGTTATTTGACAGTGTGTGTTATGAGGACTTTTGTATTACAATATTTTAATTGTTGTAAGTGGGAGACAGGGTGGAACCCTTACTGTCATTTTGTAGTAGATTTCTTTATGGGATATGTCTTAAAGAAAAGGTATATATATATATATATTTTTTTTTTTTTTTTGAGACAGAGTTTCGCTCTTGTTACCCAGGCTGGAGTGCAATGGCGTGATCTTGGCTCACCGCAACCTCCACCTCCTGGGTTCAGGCAATTCTCCTGCCTTAGCCTCCTGAGTAGCTGGGATTACAGGCACGCGCCACCATGCCCAGCTAATTTTTTGTATTTTTAGTAGAGACGGGGTTTCACCATGTTGACCAGGATTTTCTTGATCTCTTGACCTCATGATCCACCTGCCTCGGCCTCCCAAAGTGCTGGGATTACAGGCTTGAGCCACTGCACCGGGCCAAGAAAAGGTATATTCTTATACTAGTTTCTGGTCTTGTTCTTTTTGTTTCTTTTTCCCTCTTTTTCACCATATACCTCCTCCTTCTCTTAGCATCTGTGCACAGAGAGCACTTAATTACACACAAAGCAGTAAGCAGAGCCAAAAATAGAAAAACTGAGAATGTAATGGAGCTCCTGCACCTTAGTTTTGCTTGTGTTTTTCTCTTGGACACCGTGTTTGTATTCTATTTTTGGCTTGGCACTGGAGAAATAGGAATAATCAGTTACTACTCTTTGTTTACTATGACATTACTGATCGTTTCCTAGATTTCCACATCAGCTCCAGTGCAAGAGTTAGATAATGTCTTTGAGGCTCCTCTGCTTTCAAATCGAGACTAAAGTTTTAGTTGATTTCTTTCTTTTGGTGTTGAAAAACTGTTTAAAAGTGTAAATATTTTTCTGATGCATGTAAAAACTTGGTAAGAATATGTCAGCAAATACACAGGCAAACTATATGAAAGTTTGAATGAGATTTCAGACTATCAAAACTATTCTTTATTTATTATTAAGATATTCAGATATTTCTAATGTTTCTCCTGCTTGTTTTTCAATTGACATTTCTAAAAGTATAAATGAAATCTGTCCCACTTTGTGATAGATGCAGTCATGAGAAATAAAGAGGAAACACATAACTGTATTTGATATCCAACTATATAACCAGAAAGTATTGTTTGATACATTTGTTCTGTCTTATAATTTATGATTTTAGAAAATATAAGCTCTTAGAAGAAAGAGTCCATGATTCCGAAGGATTTTGTATAAGACTCTCTATGATATGCCATCAAATCCTAGTATTTTTCAAGTTGGAAATAACCTTGCAGCTAGTAGTTAAAACTACCTCCCCCAAACATTTCACAAATGAGGCAGTAAAGCTTTTAGATAAAGTGCCTCCCCATACACTTAAAATAGAATTTCATTTATAGAAATTAATTAGTATACATTTGGCAGGATCATGATTACTGTGTAAAAGGCTATTCATGTGGTGTTATCATTGAACAGAGGCCGGAGTGTAAAGTAAATGAACTTTGGAGTCGGACCAATTGGGGTTCCAACTCCTGCTCTGACTCTCATGTAGTATCACATGAAAGAGTACTTTAAAATAGGATGCTGTTAAAGAATGCTTTAAAAATGGGACAATAATATTTTCCTCATGGAGTAGTTAAGATTAAATGATATAAATTGTATATAGCTTTTGACATATAGAGGATGCTAAAGAAATGTTTTAAAAATTCTCTTTCCCATTAAAAAAATTATTAAATAAGAAACAAAGATGAATGTTGTAACTTTAGCATTGGGGAAATTATTTGGGTTAATTATATTAAATAAACATTTTGTCTATAGGTAACAATATTTGTTACATTACAGTTTACTGTGTATTAAAACCAGAGGCTTTATTGATGGGGTAGAATCAAGGCTTAATTTTCTAAATTTTTTGGTTACCCAATTTGAAAATAGTTGGTGGCAAAAGAAATGAAAGGGAGTGTTTCTGTTATCTACATCTAAAGAAGTAAGTTTCTCGGAATGTCAGTTCTTGGTGCATTAGTTGCTTACAATTTCTCAAGCTAAAGAAACATATTAAATTCAGTAATTGTCTGTTTCTTTTGGATTAAACTCTTCTGCGCTGGCAAGGAAACTAATAAAGTTACAAACCCCTTGCCATTTTTCTTGCAGTTTGTCTTTTGTTTGAGAAGGTATCATACTGTTGCCAGTTCTCAGGCTCTGTGCACCTATGCAGGTAAAATGAATATTCTCGCCTCATTTGACACCCCTCCAACCACTTCTATTGTTTAACACAACAGAAAACCAACAACCAAAGAAATTTTTACAGATGGAAAAGGACTTTGGAGGGTTTCCTTGGTCTCAGCCAATTAACCCTATTAACTGGGGAGGTAGGAGATAAAGATAGATTCTCTTACACATTAACTTCCTAGGTAAGAGAGGGAAGGCACAGAGGAGATGCTAGAAACCTTCAATAAGGTGGTAATCGTAAAAAAGTGCTTTTTCAGCCGTTCTCTTTTTTGTTGTTGTCATCCAAGAGTCTTCTTATCATTTGCCTCATATTAGTCTTATGTAGGATTTACATTGTCACTGATTTATGGCTAAAATGAGTAGATATCAAAAATTAATTGCATAATAATGGCATCATACGTTGTAAAGAGCTTTGCAGCATGTAAAGCATTCACCTACCTCATTTCATTTGGTCCATCTCACAACTGTATTAGGGAGGAGGAGGGGATATTATGGTCCTCATTATAGAGGTTGGTATTTATGCAGGATCAAGAGGCAGAATTCTTAGCAAGGCCGGAGCTAGGAACTATGTATGGCCTGTACTTTTAATCCTAGCATAAGCATTATTTTTTTTTCTCCATAGAGTACTGTAAATCAGTTGAACACCTGAATAGGACTAGGATGGTGAAACTAATACTTATTACCTTAATTTTACTTGTCTCATTATTTAGCCCATTTAGCTACTGTTAGTCTCTAGGTAGAATTTAAGCAACAGAGTACAGAGGAATATACATGATAAAATGTTTGCGGATGCATTTAGTTGAATAAACTCAACATTACTTTAATTGAGTTAATTAATTATTGGATCCTATATAACCTATACTTGGTGTTACTACCTCCTGCTAGTTTCATTCTCTTTTGCAGTTAGAATTAATATCGTGTTGTAAGTTGTGTTACTTGTTCAATTAAAGGTTTATTTTTGTATTTCATGTTTAGTACCTGGAGTAGAACAGAAAAATTATTATGTCTGTGTTCCCTTGGGACTCATTGGAAATTGTACAGTGACATCTTCTGGGATTTAGTCTGGTAAGTTGTATTTTGCTTTTTCTGTTTGTTAACAGTTGTATGAACATAATACCATAATGTGTTTTAAAGACTGCATAAATAAGCAAGTGAATGTGAAATGTCAGTTAATCAACTGAATGTGAAATGTTGGTGTAATATTGCAAATATGTATACTATAATTAAAAATGTTGAATGGTGAGAAATGAAATTATTGTAGCCATATGCAAACATTTTACTTGAAATGTTTGACTCTCTAAGTTTTCCTTATTTTAAATTCCCATAAGATAAAGATCTTATGAAATCATATTTTAAAGTAAAGTAATTAGAGGTAGTTGTTCCAATTTGGGGCAAATTTTAGTAAAAATATTAATCTCGAAACATTGCTGAAATAATTTGCAAAAAATTCTGGTTGTATATGATCATACATAAAGAATGAGCTAACAGGTGTCTGACAGGAGCTTTATTTTCACTTAGTCAGATAGCAGTTCACTGCAAATGTGACATTCTTTTTATCACACCCTGAATTTAAACTGTTAAAAATATGCAATACTGTTTTCTTCCTTTAGTTGTCTTTTTTCAGCGTGTCATCTGTGTATCTTTGCTGACATAGTTGTCCATGTGGCTCGAAGTCTTTGAAGGGAAGAAAAACTTTATACTGAGCTCTGGTAGCTCTTTAGCATTCTCAAGACTATATTAGTGTGACTTCATGTTTTGGTGTGTCATTCTACTCGGCCATTGTCTTTGTACATCCTTGCTTTAAATTATGTAGAGAGGTCATAATCCTTGGAAATAGCAGAGTTTCCTATAAGTGATGTCTAAATTTCCAGTCAGCAGCAGAATGATTCAAAGGAATGTTAGGGAAAAACAAACACTTTAATCTCATTAAGTAGATAAAACCTATTAAATTTATGAAAATGCATTTTAGGACATTTGAAGAATGGAAACATTACTACAATTTTCAGTTTTGTGGAAAAGAGCAAGAAGTTTGAAAACCATAGTACGAAGTACTTTGAGAGGATATTGAATAAAAAATAATGTGGCCTGGTCCCTGACTCAGCTGATAGAAATAAAGCATAAAACTAGGAGCAGTGGGTAGAAGCTACAGGAATATATGTGTGTATATCTATGTCTATCCATCTTTCTCTGTATAGGCCTATATTTGTACAGTTGTTCCTTGGCATTCATGGGGAATTGGTCCCAGGATTTCCCCCAGATACCAAAATCTGAAGACATGTGAGTCCCTGATACAAAATGGCATAGTATTTGCCTATAACTATGCACATCCTCTTGTATACTTTAAATAATCTCTAGATTGCTTATAATACCTATTACAATGTACAAGTTACATGAACAGTGGCTGTACTGTATTGTTTAGGGAATAATGACAAGCAAAAGGTATATGTATACATATTCAGTATAGATGTAATTTTTTGGTTTTTCAAATATTTTCTCTCTGTGGTTGGTTGAATCCATGGATGCAGAACCCATGGACACAGAGGGCTGACTGTATATATGCATGTACATATAGATCTGTATATGAATAAATCAACATTCTAGCAGAGCTGCACAAGGTGAGATGAGTCAACTTGGGAGATAGTGAGTTAACTGTCACTGAAGGTGTTCAGACATACACTGAGCAACTATTAAGATTCCTTTTGATTCTGAAATTATATGGTACAAAAAATTTTAAATTTGGAGGACCATCTGAAAGTTGGAAATATGTGACAGAGTTCATTTATTTTTAATGTCACATTTATTGAAGTATAACTTACATAGTAAAATTCATCCTTTTAAAGTGTACAGTTTGATGCTTTTTGACCAATGTATCTAGTTATGTAGTGACCACTACAGTCAACAAATAGAATATTTTAATCACCCCACAAAATTCCCTTTTGCCCTTTGCAGTTATCCCCTCTCCCCACCCAAGCCCTTGGCAATCACTGATTGATTTCAGGCCGATAGTTTTGCCTTTTCCAGAATGCTGTGTACGTGGAATCATGTAGTATACAGGTGCAACATCTGCCTCTTTCACTCAGTGTTTTCTTAGTTTGTTCCACTTCATTAGTGAGTGGTATCCATTGTAGAGATGGACCGGAGTTTGTTTATCTCTTTCCCTGTTGATGGATATTTGGATTGTTTCCAGTTTCGGTGACTGTGTATGAAGTTGTTATAAATATTCACATTAAGGTGTTTGTATGGACATGTATTTTCATTTTTCTTTGGTTAGATATCTATGAGTATGGCGACTGGGTTGTTTAATGAGCATTTGTTCAATTTTATAAGTAAATGCCAAATTATTCTCTAAGTACCTGACAAAGGCTTCTAAGTAGTTAAAATAACTATACCAAAATGTATGTAAATGAAGGAGCCCGATTCTCATTCAGCACAGATTTATTTTTATTTTACATGCAGTTTTAACACGTTTGGTTAGCAGATATTTTCAGCCCACAGCAGATTAGGAACAGTAAATTAGAAGGCCTATGGGTAGGTTGTTAGCAATTATAAGCAGCCAAAAATTATGTTCACCAATATGACTATACAGTGATTACTGATTAAAAGCAAAGCAGGAACTTACAAGAGTGAAACTCTTGTATTTGGTAAGTTCTATCTGACAAGTTCCCAAACCCATATGCATATTAGAATCACCTGGGAATCTTTTATAAATTGCAGAACCCAGGCTGCATTCCAGATCAGTTAAATCACAAATCTTGGGTGGAACACAGACATCCGTATTCTTTGAATCTCCTTGCATGATTCTGTTGTGTAGACAAGTTTGGGAACCACAGGCTAGAAGTACAGCGTGGACTAGAAGCCAGGATGCCTGGATTGTAATTATGGGCATTAACTACCTATATAGCTCTGGGCAGGCCCCTGTCTTCATGGTTTCAGTGTCTTCTCTATATTTGGAGGTAGAGGTTCCGGGTACGTTATTTCCAAGATGATTCTGGCATTAAAAGTATATGACTCTAGCCGGGGTGGTGGCTCGTACCTGTAATCCTAGCTACTTGGGACGCTAAGGAGGGAGGATTGCTTGAGACCAGCCTGGGCAGCACAGTGAGACTTCGTCTCTAAAAGTATGAAAGAAATAATTAACCCATTGTGGTGATGCACACCTGTGTCCCATCTACTTGGGAGGCTGAGGTGGGAGGATCGCTTGAGCCCAGGAGTTTGAGGTTGCAGTGAGCTATCATTGCCCCACTGCACTCCAGCATGGGTGACAGAGCAAGACCCTGTGTCTAAACAAACAAACAAAGACAAACACAAAAATAGGTGACTCTAGATATCATAGATATCACCAGACAGGTATTAGCCATGCTTACAAGTTCCTGTTTCCCAAATAATGGCTCTATTCCAATGGTTTGATTCAGGTACCTCTTAAAAAGGATTTTCTTAACACGATGACATTTTTATTCTGTATATTTAAGATAGTTATGTTGATATCTGTTTTCTCTTATATGGTATTGCTGTATGCTGCTAAAAAAAAGTGGAAGCATATGGAGCAGTGTTTTGATTACTGGGAATGAATTTTTTTTATAATCTTTATTTTAAAAAATTCTCAGAATGCAATTTCAAAAAGAATTCTTTGTATAGCAGTTTTGAAACTTACCAGCTATTTTCAGAGCTGGTCTAAGGAGCTAAGGCATCTAGATCATATTTTCAAAATGTTGCTGTTTGTGCCAAATAGATAGGAAGCTTAGCCTCTTGAAAAGTGTTCAAAGCTGTGCAGACTTCTCTCTTGACTGTTCTTGCTGGTGCCTGGGGTTCCGCTGACGTGTGTTATCGTTTGGACCTGTTTGCTTTAGTCTCAGCCAGAATACTGGTGTTGGGGTATTGAATGCGGTGCCTAATGCTTTTGAAATGTACATTGTATATATTTTTCTAATATATATAAATAAAATGTTATCTCCCTTTTTTGAAGGAAAATTTACATTTAGTTTATAAATTTCTTTAAAGAGGTGTCTGAGTGTTTCATGTGAAAATAATATCAGGAGATTGGAGGTCAAAGAATGGCTGTCATGTCCCTTTCATTTATCTTTCCCTTTTTGGAAAAATCAAACACATCAACAAAGAGGAAGCACATCATCTTCCTTTTTTCTTTTGATAATTTCTATTGCTAAGCAATAGAAGGAGAAGCAGGCACTCTTTGAGTGACTGTATAGATTGTACTCTTTAAAAGTGTTTACATTAATCTTTAGTTATATAAAGTAATACATTATCCATGTAAAAAACAGAAACATTATTAATAAGGTTTTTTGAAGGTTGTTATAAAAATCTGAAAAGAACATGTTCTTAAACTCAGCATTTTTACTTATGGAATTTCTTGCAGAAATACTCATGTATCTTTTTGTACGCTTGCATGTTTTCATTGTAGAAAGAAGTAATCACTGTCACATTTGTAAATAGGAAAAGGAAGGTTATATCAAAATATTAGTAGAGGTTTCCTCAAGATATGTCCGGCATTGGTAGGGGATGAAGAATGATTTTGCCATTTATAGTATATCATTATGAATTATTTGGACTGGATAGCTTTCAGTTTCTGTGTATTGCTTTTATTGGTTTCAAAAACAACAAGGAAAAACAGTCATTTGAGCTGGTTAGTGGGGTAAGAAAAATGTAGAAAGTATGTGTAAGGGAAAGGCAGTTATAAAAAATATTCATGGACTCTAAGACCTCTTTCAGATATCTCTGTATGGTTAAAGAAATTAGCAAGCAGGATGGTGCCCCAGGCTTAGAGGCTAGTGAAACAATTTTTGTTTCTTAGAGTGTGTCACTGACTCAGACACCCTGTAGCGTAGGAGCTGACTATGGGCAATATCTGGGTGTATCTTTGTGTTAAGTCACATTCTCAGCTTTTTGGAACCTTCGCTTTTCTTTCTCTCGATGAGAATTACATTGTACCTTACCTTTATATGAAAAATATGTTTGGTAAGCTAATTCATTCTGTAACAGAGAAAAATAAAGGTGTTTTAAGAGAAGACAGCAAAAAGCATTTTTTAACTTGGTGGAATGAGTCTAGAAAT